CAGCAGTATCAAACTCTCTTCCCGTTTACGCCAGACAGCTTCTTTCTTATTTTCGGTAGATCTTGTCACTTTTCTGCATACTTTTTAAGAATTCTAGCCGAGCACGTCATAGTGTTTGGTTTTAGACTTCCTCAAGGATTAGTTTTTCTTATTTTAACACCTTGAACTTAGTCTCTTCGAAATGAAGTGATTGATAAGTACTACTTGTACAGACAAAGGATATTGAGAGGATTGTGTACGAGTTGTTTATTTGAACAGATCGCTAAATATCACTTTCATCCGTCTTTAACCATTCACTATTGCAGTCGACAAAGTTTACGCCCTTGGTGGGAATACCGTTAGGCTCAGTACCCAATGCGGCCACTATTCGACTGCAAATCGTACCCATCTTGGACTTGAACACAAACTGGAAACAATCATGAGGCACCAGCTCACAAGGCTGCTAGGTCCACTGTCATAACAAGAAACATCTGAAAATTGTTAACCGTTTCTGGTGCAGTTTTGAGCGAAGGAACTATGTCGGAAGTCTGGAAGACTACTCCTAACGCGGATGGCCGAGCACGCAACCATAGTGAGGAAGAATGCTGTTAACTCCAAAGTAGCGGCTCATTCGACGGGACCCAGTGACACATTCAAGTTCGATCAAGTTAAAATTCTCACGAGAGGCGTAAGCTGCGAAATGCTGGAGTCATAGTTTTACGGTCCTTAATCAATCGACAAGCGCAACGATATACCGCTCCATATTAGGTACTGACAGAAAGTTGTTAGCCCCATAGAGAGGGTGTGGAATACCACTGTTCTTCATGTCAGCATTGCCGAGCTAAATTGTCCAAGAGGTCACGGATGATAAAGCCCCGGCAGTTAGCAACTGGACGCAGGCGAGCATCGCACCACACGCAACCGCGTGCGGTGAGCGTTAGGGCCGATGATCTTGACGGACATGCAGCCGCATAGCAACTGCATAATGCAGCATCTAGCTAGTACTACATACAACTTTCCGCGATGCTTTCAGCAACTGCCACTTAGGATAGGCATGCAGTCGCCTAGTAACTACATCTTATAAATACTGCAGCACCTGGGCAACCCAGTACCCTTGTCTAACTTGGTTTCTGATTATAGGGGCGAGTGAAAATCCGAAACTTCGTACTCATAAAGCTCCTGTTCCAGTAATCATGTTTCCTTCGCGATCTGAAGTTGTAATACAACTGCAAACTAGCCAAGCATGGGGACTGCAATCTCACCTTTTTGCGTTACTCGAGCTTCGTGAGCCACTGCGCCCGGCACCCTGCTCGGTTACTCTGGATTATTCTTGTCGCAGTGTCTAGGTTTTCGAGAAGGGGGAGAGTATGGCAGATGCGACGCAAGTCTGCCATTACTATAAACTAATTCCCACCCAAGTCATCGTCGTGGGTCCACGCGGTGGATATCGGCCTTCATGACGGTACAACCGACAGGCACTGTTGATTATTGATTACTTGTCGCCATGCTAAAGGAGCTCTACGGCAAAGGATCCTATTTTTTAAACGAAATTACGTAGGTACCCGGGCAACCCTTGTTTCGTGGACGGAACACTCGATCATCTTTAGTCTGCTCCAGTAGAGTTATTCCCATCTCTCATAAAAACTGGACATTGCAGGGTTTTCTTTTCTAAGTGGTTTAGTGTACGTCAGCATGCGTAATATTATTTCGTTCCTGACTTCCGTGCTAAATTCTCGGTGTTCTTTCCTTCTGTCACCAGGAATGTCAATGGAGGCAATGTCCGTATTGACGGCCAAGGCGCCCAGCCGAGTTATCAGCAAGTGTCTGCGCATTGTGGAACTCCTGCTTTCCAAACCACAGTCCCGCGAGCAGCTCCTCAACCCTCTCACCCTTGCCATCGAACTCTTGAGTGTCCTGCACCGCGTCATCCTCACTCGTGACGGCGTTTATCTGCATCTCTCT